AAGGGCAACATCCTTCTCTAAATTTTACCCCTGCATTGCCCACACAACGGGGTGAGTCAAGTTGAAATGGCAACATCCTTCTCTAAATCTACCCCTGCGTCAACCAGTGAAACACACGTGAAAGCCCAGACATGAGAGCACACAAACGAAAACAAATATTCTTTGTTGAGGGAATGGGTGACGACAGTGTGACAACCAAAGTGAGGGCATGAGTGACTAAGTCAGCAAAGAAAGAAGTAAGTAAGTGGCCTTTTATACGGCACCCCTGTTCATATTGAATAAGACAAGGGAGTTTGTGAGGAATCACCCTGAAAAAATATCATTGTGGCAGGTGATTGTAAACAGATTCCACCCATAAAGGACTTGACAAATGGTATGACACATGAAGAGTATTCAGACCATTGTATGGATTCCGTTTTTAACTGTAGTATTTTCCTGAAGATATGTAAGAGAGTGGGAGGGAAGGGCGCCGAAGAGGGAGAAAAGAACAGGGCAGTGTTGGATGATTTGTATGTTGACTACTGGCTAAAGAAGTTACCCATAAGAGACATCATTGAGAAATACTTCATTGATACCGACAACGCTATGACATCTGATAGGCACATAGCATACACCAACTTGAGATGTAGAAGTGTAGCAAATAGGGTCAGGGCATTGTTAGGTTTTAAAAAAAGTAAGTATGAAATTTGAAGAGTTGATACGCCGTCTTTATCTGGACAAGGATGGTATGAAATTTAATGTGATAAGGTTATAAATATAAACTCCTGCATGATTACAATACAAGTTATCAAAGAAAAACAGAAGACATATTGCGCTACTTGTCACAGTTGTCAAGGGGCACCCATCAAATCAACAATCACCATCCACGAATGGGAGAAAAAGAATCTGGTCACTAGGGAGTGGCTATGGACATGCATCACTAGAGCAACCGATTTCAGGAATGTTTACTTTTTCAAGAACGATTCTGATGATGATAGGATACATGGTTTACCGTTAAGGAACTACTTGAAGAAAACATAGATGGGCATAAGGTTCAGGACTTCAAGGCAGGAAGACACATCAATGCCGGGAACTATGTGAACGCGCGCTGGTGCTAGAGAAACTGGCTGAGTGCTGTCAGAAGTGCGGTGGGTTTTTGAGATAGATGACAAAAGGGAAAACAAGTAGCACTTTTACCGTGCAACGGGTTGACAATGCCTATTGCCATTCCAAAGATAACTTCGTGGCATACTGTAGATACTGTAATTGTAGTTCTAAAGTTCTAAATAATCTCTACTTTAGATATATGTCATCTAAACCAAACAGTTTTTCTGATATATATATGTTGACAGAAGTGGTTTTGGGAGCAAGGCTGTGGCCTTGCAAGATGCCAGAAAAAGGGATAGGGCTATCACCATGTCAGACGTAAACGAGCTTTTCAAGAACAACGTAGAAGTCAAAAAGAAACCCCGTGGTTACAACTCATTCGTGGCATCTAATAAGAATCACACATATCAAATAGGTATATGTTTTCCAAGGATGATATAGAAGCACCACAGAAATTCAGGGGTGGTTTGGTCGCCACTGACGTTCTAAGTATATACGCGGTGGTAGTTCCCATTGAGAGTAAATAAATTCCTGACGTCATAGCAGGAACCATGGAGGCACTACAGAAGATGGGAAAGAAACCCCAAATCATATACACTGACGACGAAGGGGTGGTTACCAGCAACGACTTTAGGCAGTATGTTGAAGACGAAGGGATTGTTCTTTATAGGACTAGGGGTCACCCTGAATTTGCCGAGCGTTTTGCGTCTCGACCTTTTGTTTTTGACCCACAACCATTCTTTTTTGACCCGCAAACATTCTTTTCTGACCCCCAACCCTTCCTTTTTGACCCACAACCCTTCCTTTTTGACCCCCCAGCATTCCGTGACCAGTCCTTTTTTTCTGCCCCACGGTCCCTTTTTTTTTGACCCCCGCAATCCTTTCTTTTTGACCCGCGGTCTTTTTCTTTTGACCCCCGCAATCCTTTCTTTTTGACCCACGATCCTTTCTTTCTGACCACCGAGCCTTTTTTTCCGACCCACGGCGCTGTTGTCCTCGACCCCGCAAAACTGTTTGTTTGACCCACAGCCCGTGTTGCGTGACCTCATACACCCCTGGCACGCTCTACCGAGAGGAAACGAATTTTTTCTCCTTCTGCATCCCTCTCTTCTTCATCTGAATAACGGTGCTGTCCGTGTGATCCAATAATTTCAGCACCCCTTTTTTTCTGACCTCCGCAACAGTTCAATTTGACCCTCGACCTTTTGTTTTTGACCACAACCATTATTTTTTGACCCGCAACCATTCTTTTCTGACCCCCAACACTTCTTTTTTGACCCACAAACCTTCTTTTTTGACCACCAACTCTTTTTTTCTGACCCACGGTCCTTTTGTTTTGACCCTGCAACCCTTCCTCTTTGACCCACGGCCCTCTTTTTCTGACCCCCGCAACCCTTTCTTTTTGACCCCCAACCCTTCTTTTTTGACCCACGATCCTTCTTTTTTGACCACCAACCCTTTTTCCTGACCCACGGTCCTTTTGTTTTGACCCCCGCAACACTTTCTCTTTGACCCACGGTCCTTTTTTTCTGACCTCCGCAACCCTTTCTTTTTGATCCACGACCCTTCTTTTTTGACCACAAACTTTGTTTTTCTGACCCACGGTCCTGTTTTCTTTGACCCCGCAACACTTTTAGTTTGACCCAGAATACGTCTTTCTTGACCTCGTAGACACCTGGGCACGCTGTATGAGAGGAAGGGTCAAATTAAACGGTTGCGGGGGTCAGAAAAAAAGGAGGTGTCAAAAAAAAGGGGTGCGTGGGTCAAAAAAAAGGGGAGCCCTTACATGAACTCGCAACCCATATGGGGTGCCCTTTTGCGTGTAGTTGACAGGCGTCGTCACCATTAAAAAAGGACACCCCCAAGCAACTCTAACATTTCTTGCAAACACTCTTTTCCTACCACGTCCTCCTTCGCTAGCCTGTCTTCCACCTTCCCCACAGCATTCTGGCTCCTCACAGATCACACAATGTCTAAGAGACACACACCTCTATTTCACTGGCCATGCGGGGCGCACATCTCCCTTTTCTGGAGGAGCTCCCACTTTTCGCATCTTTTCGCGTCCCGTTGTCCCCTCTTTCCTGTCATTGACATGAACTCCCACCTCTAACGGTTTACTTTACCTCCTGAGCCCTCGTGACGCTAATGATGCACTACTGGCTGTCAATTATATCACCGGCATCACAACACCTCAAAAGCTACTCAGTTTTCACTACCAAGTGGCCACCTGGTTTTTTGGCTCTCCCCCGCCAGGCTCTGGCACCCCCCCCACACCCCCTTTAACTCACTTCGTTCGCTCCCCTGCCTCAAGCTTTGCCTATCGGCTGGCTTTCGTGATAAATAATTAAATAAATATATATATATATAACTTCTTTTAAGATAGATGCGCGACATGCTAAAAGGAATGCGTACGGTTTAACCAACGCAATGAAAAAAACAATAATTACAACTCTGCACGCTTACCACTAACCAAACCATGCAGGTTGAAACAGAAACGGCCTGAGAACACAACCCGGGCAAAGTTTGATTCCGTGAGGCGGCTTGTTCGTGCTGGGTCAAAGTCTTGAAAAGCGTCCTGTCAAAAAATTCTGCGGAAACTTGCGAGCCAAAGCACGCCAAAACCCACCTTGATACGGATGCGGCGTTGAAAAACAAAGGTCTGGATCTGCTCGAGCAGCTTTGAAACCTCTTCCTCAAAAGTCTCAAGACAACTTCTTGCAGTCAGTTGTAGCTTTCCCCACCTCAGAAGTACTCCCCCATGCCGACAGAGGAGCCATTCAGCCTGCACAATAGAATCTGCTGAAATCTCTGTCCATGAAACATGCACGGAAGCACTGTTAGAAATGTGTTGAAAGTCTTTCCGCCACACTCCTATCGTAGACGCAACCAGGGTTTGACGAACTCCGGACCTCGGCCTGCCCATGCAAGCGCGTCTGAACCAAAGAGCAGGGCAGTATCGATCCATCCCACCCATACACAAAGGCAGAAAAGCTGCATCTCGATCGACACAGACCGCATGACAGCCACACGAAGCTTACTTACCTTTTCTTGTGGGTGTCTGCACTCGGCAATCCCATTTGCGTGGGAAAGGCTGTTCCTTTCCGCCCGGTCTTGGCTGGTACAGTTGCACAAAACCCTACATACAAAAGATCGACTATCAAAATGTTCCTTGCCGAACTTTTCGTTCATCCACATTACTATATACATTTTTGAGCACCAGCTAGCTCGGCAGATTCACTGGCTGTGCTGGTGGAAGACACAAACTAGCTTCAGCTGGCTTCAGCGGGCATGCTGCCAACAGGGAGGTGGTAAGTGTCGCCAACCTTGGCTCGAGAACCACAACAAAAGAACGCGGAAGGAGGCCAAGAAAATTATGAACATATTACTATATATTATACTATATATATATATGCATATACATATATTATATTAGGGACGGTCAAAACTTATCAGTATTCTTCAACTAAACAATTATACTACTGACTACAAACTCAGGACTTGTCGAACATATATGGTGATTCTAAAAGCCTATGTCATCAGGCTTGAACCCACACGGTCATCTGCCTTTACAGTAAACTCCTATGTCATCAGGCCACAACCACCGAGGCGTTCAGTGAAGATGTTTGATATGTTCCTTTTTTTGATCGCGGAGGTGTCCAAAGGTCCTATGACACCAGGTTTCCCCACCCAGACCATTGTGTATTGCTTGATGTGTGAGCGCAAATGACCTAGCCCTGTGGGTAGCCGTGTGGGTATGTCACTTGAACCACGTTTGCCAGGTCACTAGACAGTCGCATATCGGTTTTGAATTGGACCTTGTCGTTTCACAGTGTTGTGAGTTCGCCGCATACTTATGATCATATACAGCGCTGGGGTTGTCAGTTTCGAGGTGGACTTTACGTAAGGCTCTACACAACAAAATAAAATGGGTCAGAGACAAAAAGGAAGCTATGGCATTCGGCAAGCAACTCCAATCACTTTTGTTGTACCGTCGGTCTTGATGTTCACCAGTGTGACAGACCTTGGCTCGCCGCAGGGCACCATTATTGGTGAGCAATTTGTGCAGAGATTGGCTTGGGAACCCTGCGCATGCCCAATGCTGTACAGTGAGCGGGCAGCTTTGGACTCTTCAGCTGACCTGTGTCAAGATAACTTGTTTGCCGAGCCAGGGTTCACCTGTTTGCTGAATCCAAGATCACATGCCCAAAGATCGCAGAAGCATGTAAAGGAGTGGGACGTCCTAGCCAAAGCCGGGAAGAGCAAACAATCTACGACAGCAAAATCAGGTGTAACGGCTGGATTCTGGAGCTCATCACGAGCAGTCACTGTTGGCCAAGCAAGCGGGGGTGAACCAATCACACTCAAATCAAGTCACTCTCCTCAGCAACAATAATCACAGTGTCACGAGAGCCTGGTCCAGGCTCAGTGAACGAGATCTAGGTGCACAACCTTTCCAAGATTCCTCGTCTTGGCTATTCACTCGACATTGCACCAAGACACTTCCAGGGACTGAGAAGAACTGCAAGAATGCCGCCTTTTTGCGCAAGCAAAACACCAACAGAATGGGCCATTAAAGTCCACATGCACAATCTCTTGCAAACTGATTGGCCTCAGGCTCTTCGCAAATACTGTCGGGCAGCAGTTGCGGCACCTCATGTAGCTGTGTGACACGTAAACATCCAACAGTGAATGAATACAAGAAGCAGGTGTAACCATTGTGTTGCGTAACTCACTTTGTCGCCGGCTGTTTTGAACTTGCTGGCAATCATGTTGGCCGTCGGTTGCCCATCTGATGTGCAAGCAACCTCAGTCCACCGCAGTGAATGTGCCACTGTTCTTTGGCCAGCATTGCAAGAAATCCCCACGACTCACAAGTCTCTCACCACGGCCTTTCCAGACCTGGACTTGTTTGACCAGTGTCAAATCAAACAAAGTGAGTAGAGAGCACATATCTGCCTCACTGGGGTATGCTAATTATGGTGTTTTCACTTCACTAACATGCTAAATTTAAAGCCAAGCAAGCCAAGTTTCCGACATCATGTATCCACTGAGGCTTTTAACATGATCTGTCACGGACTGGATCTGCTGGGCGGTAACACTTTCTAGACCTTGGACCGCTTGGAACTTGGCAAGGGAACCAAAGAAAACGCAAAGGAATTTGGGAAGGACTATAACTAGGAACTAGGAACAAGCAAAGTAACCTCGATCTGAAAAGAAAACGACACACACCTGAGAAGCTGCAAAACGAAAGCCCGCGTTTTTTGTCAACGAGCACGTCTGTGGTGAAACAAGGGCAGAGGTTGCCTCAGTGTTTTGAAGTCTCATTCGTGCTTTGAACTTACATTAGGTGTGTAAGAGGTTTAGCAACATAGCATTTATACGGACCCAGGGTAGCTACAATTCGGTTCCCATTCGTGGGCCCAGGGTAGGAAGATTGAAGTGCGATACCAGGCAACAGAATTGTAGCTACCCTGGGTCCGTATAAATGCTATGTTGCTATACCTCTTACACACCTATATAAGTTCGAAGCACGAATGAGACTTCAAAGCTGTGGATTGCCGTGCGTGTGTAGAGGTTATCGAGCGGTTGACGGAAAGGGGGCTTGAAGTACTACACCAGGTAACTCTAGCTACCCTGGGTATCTATACCTGGCAAGGCGCCAACTACACCCCCTCAAAAATCACAAAAACTCACCTCCAACACAACCTCAAAAACCTTACTTCCGCACACCCCTCTCCACCTCATTTCGAGTTTACAGGCTCGGATTTAATTTAAGATGTTTTCCGTGTTTCGTTTGAGATGTTTTCTTGTTTTCGGTAGATAGGTAGATAGGAAAGAAAGAAAGATAGATAGGAAAGAAAGAAAGAAAGATAGATAGCAAAGAAAGAAAGATAGGAAAGAAAGATAGATAGGAAAGAAAGATAGATAGGAAAGAAAGAAAGAAAGGAAGAAAGAAAGACAGACAGACAGAAAGATAAGTAGATAGGTAGATAGGTAAAGAGATGGATAGGTAGATAGGTAGATAGGAAAGAAAGAAAGATAGGAAAGAAAGAAAGATAGGAAATAAAGAAAGATAGGAAAGAAAGATAGATAGGAAATAAAGAAAGATAGGAAAGAAAGAAAGACAGAAAGAAAGAAAGAAATAAATAAAGAAAGAAAGAAAGAAATAAAGAAAGAAAGACAGACAGACAGAAAGACAGACAAAAGAAAGAAAGAGATAGATAGATAGATAGATCGACAGACAGACAGACAGATATAGACAGATAGATGGATAGGTAGACAGATTTGGGAGCTGTCGTAGCTGGCAAAATACATTGGAACAGCGTAGGTGTCAGAGAAATTCCTACCTATCACAACAGTTTGGTGCAGTTAGCAGAGAAACAGCAAAGAGAAAGAGAACTAGCGCAGGAGGCACATTTGCTTGGTTAGAAATTTTTGCGCCGGGGAGTTGACCTTAAAATATTGATTTCGTGGAAGGCGCGGGTGTCGGAGATGAAGTGCAGATTTCGTGGCGCAGGGGGGGTTGGGGGGGGGGGCGCAGCGCCCCCCCGGCAGCACACCAGATCCAAAGGTGAGCAGCTCGCGCTTGCTTGCTTGCTTGCTTGCTTGCTTGCTTGCTTGCTTGCTTCTTTCCTTCTTTGGTTTCTTCTCTGCAAAGCAAATAAATGCACAAGCAAAAGCAAAAAGAGAAAGGAGAACAGCTGTCAAAGAGAAAGAACGAAAGAAAGAAAGAAAGAAAGACAGAATGAAAGAAATAAAGAAAGAAGAAAAGAAAGACAGAAAGAAAGAAATAGAGTTAGATAGATGACAGACAGATAGAAAGATAGATAGATATAGACAGATAGATGGATAGGTAGACAGATTTGGGAGCTGTCGTAGCTGGCAAACAGCCAGGCATATTTACACCATATCAGTGAATGAAGACACAAAAAGCAGCCAGCCGAAGCCACGAAAAGGCAAAAAAGCAACCGAAAGCCAAAGTCATCAAAAGCCACCAAAAGCGAAAAGCCACCAAAAGCCAAAAGCCACCAAAGGAATCGTCTGGGTGAAAACAAGACCGTCTTACATCTGGTAGCTGTGCCTCGGACTTCACATTCCTCCAAAGATGGACTAGTAGCAAACAGCCAGAAGCCACGAAAGCAACGAAAGCCAAACGCCACAAAAGCCACAGAAGCCACTGAAGCCACGAAAGCCAAGAAAGCCAAAAGCCACAGAAGCCACGAAAGCCACAAAAGCCACATTAGCCACGGAAGCCACAAAAGCCACGGAAGCCACAAAAGCCACGAAAGCCAAAAGCCACGAGAAACAAAAAAAGCTAAAAAAGAACAACAAAAATTACTAAATTAAATGGCCCTCCCGAGTTTACGTAATGCTTTCTCGGGCCACTCCCCCCAGACCCCCTACTTACTCACTTCGTTCGCCAAACACAACTCAGCTGGCGTAGAAGGCTGGCTTGCGTAAAATGTCTTGAGCAGCACTCTACACAGTATTCTATTCATTGCCAGAAGTTTGGTTGCTGGATTAGGGAGGTGTGTGTGTGTGTTTGACTGTGACCAGTGACAATACATACATACACAAACCGCTGAAAGAATCACTAACACAGCCTTGGTTGGGGCAAAGCCAAACTTAAGCAGGGAGATTGATAGATCCGACTCCGACACATGAAAACAAGGGCAAGTGCCCCGGCCGTATTGCAAGTACCTGCCAAGCCTTCATCAAGGCAGCTTCAAAGCGGCTCAGGGGTTCTGACGCCCATATTACACAAAAGTGCCGGAAAAACAGCAATGCACCAGGCGATCGAAACGTATATATAGAACAAGGCAAAAGGGTCGAATGTTCTTTGGCGATTTGCGCTGGGACAGAGTCGTCCGACCGAAAGTCGTCCGACCGAAACACTGTTCCCAACCAGTGTTGTTCATAGTCAATTAGCGCCACTTGATCAATGAATGCGACATTGTCGTTCACAAAACACACATGTTCACGACATTTGTATACAAACGTCAATGCAGCCCAATATCTTGAGTCCTTCAGCACCTGCGCTATGGGGACAATGCACAGCGTGGAGGAGCGCCGGGGCAACATATTTTTTTCAACCCTAAAACTTTTTTTCAACCCTAACCTTTTTTTCAACCCTGCAACATGTTTTTTAACCCTAGAACATTGTTTTTTGACCCTGTAACAGTAACATTCTTTTTTAACCCTTGTACATGCTTTTTCGACCCTAGACC